GTCTAAAGTGGACGGGAATATATCTGTTCCTGATGTTACTTCTGGTGTACTTCGAGAGATGTTTGAAGGACAATAAGCTGGAAATTGGGCCTTGATGTTACTTTGTACCTCTGTAAGGTAACAATTTGCTTAATTTAGTGTGTTAGTGTATTGTTTTGTGAGTCCTACTTGTCTTGGTTTGCGTGTTTCAGGAGAGGCGGCCCTATTGCCTTTCTTCCCAATATCTTTTCACAATTACATAGTAACATTGACTTTATTCCAATTGTTATAGTATCCTTTTTTATAGAATGTATCAAATAAAGCTGCAGCACCTAGGGCTAGCGTACCTGGGTGCTTTCTTCTCTGTCAACGAAGTGAATTACGTTTCCAACAACTTTAGCAATCGTGATTTTAACAAACCCAAGCGGAGATGGTAAGTATTTTTTAAGAAGTGAGATGTTGACGTGTGTCCTAGGTTAATCTACTAATTTGTTTGTCATTATTCAGATCGTTTTTCCATATCTCACTGTGTTTTCACAGGTACCGCGATGTTTTTCCGGTGGGAGGTTGTTGGTGCAGCTGCTGGATGTGTGGAGACGAAGCTGAAATTGTACCTCGAAAAGCGGAACCAAGTGTGCAATGTGGTGTAGTCACTCTTTTCTCTGTGAGTGTGCGAAGGATGTATATATCGTCGAGGCTGTGGCGATGGCGAAGTACATATTGGTAGTCAGTGTTCGCCAATGAATGTTCGCTGAAACTGTTGGAATTGTACAAAGTGCGGCGCGGTGAATCTTGCGTTTGTGACATTGCGGACGGAAAGGAGCAGGCGTCAATGCCAATGGATGAAGAGTGCGGATACATGTATGGAGAAACTCGCCAAAATCGAAGTGTATAATTATGTATGTATATGTATGTACGTATATGCATGTGTATATTTGCATTACACTGTGTTATATGTTTTCAATATAATTCTCTTGCTATCTCTGTTGGTTGTTAAAGTGCTTTCACTCAGCACTGGCATATATTAGATGGTGGCTGGTTTAATTTCTTGCTCATCGGGACCTACTCATGCAATTACCTGAATTTAGTGGTCTTCGTAATACTTGCGTTGCCATTCTTGTCCTAGCTAATCGAACTGGGGAAGGTATTGTGCGAGAGGTTGTAGTGTGTATTTGCGTAGTATTTACGGGTGGGACC